GGTCAGCCTATGGCCAGTACCACCTGTCTGTACCTTGGCGGGCCCTGGCTTGTCAAACGTGCAGAATTTCCAGAACCTCAAGATTGGCAACTTGCAAACTTTTTTGACTGGACCCATAGGAATAATATATTTTGCATCATGACCCAGAAAATTTTTACTGTGTGTGTGTGTTGTGCACACACATCCTGCTACTAATTTGTGTCTGCATAAACAGAAGCTTCATAAAGTAATGCTTAACGTGACTTGCAGTGGGCTCTGATATTTCCATTCTATTCCATTAAAATAAGGCCTAATCAATAAATGGCTGCATGACCCACTGAAAAGAGCACCCTAGTTTGAACATTGCCTTTGAAGGGCCTGGACAACATGGCCTTTGTAGAAATGGAGGCCCTGGGCCAGAGAAGGGCAAGGACTAGCTCAGAGTCACGCAGCAGGGACTCAGGAAAAGAACAAGATGAGCTGAGTGCTATGGTGTGCAGGCACATGGCTCAGCCCACATGATCCCATGTGGTGGGATCATCCCTCCTTAGGCCTCTCACCTCCTTAGGCCTGCCTGAGTCATGAGTCTCTCTCCTCCTTAGGCCTGCCTGGGTCATGAGTGCTCTCTCCTCCTTAGGCCTGCCTGGGTCATGGATGGAGTGCTCAATAAGATCTTTCCTTGGCTCCAGTCTCTGCCTCCAGCTTCCCTGACTAGCTCACCTGCTTACCTTTGGGTAGATCCCAGAAACCTATGGTCTCTTCTGCAAACTAAATCTAATCCAGTTGGGATGAAAACTTTAATCTCAGGCTGGGCGCGGTGGCTCACACCTGTAATCCCAGCACTTTGGGAGGCCGAGGGGGGCAGATCATGAGGTCAGGAGTTTGAGACCAGCCTTGCCAGCGTGGTGAAACCCGTTTCTACTAAAGATACAAAAAATTAGCCGGGCGTGGTGGCGGGTGCCTGTAATCCCAGCTACTCGGGAGGCTGAGGCAGGACAATCACTTGAACTTGGGAGGCGGAGGTTGCAGTGAGTCGAGATCGTGCCATTGCACTCCAACCTGGGTGACAGAGCGAGATTCTGTCCAAAAAAAAGATAGAAAGAAAAAAAAGAGAAAGAAAGAAAGAAAGAAAGAAAGAAAGAAAGAAAGAAAGAAAGAAAGAAAGAAAGAAAGAAAGAAAGAAAGAGGAGAAGGAGAAGAAGGAAGGAAGAAAGGAAGGAAGGAAGGAAGGAAGGAAGGAAGGAAGGAAGGAAGGAAGGAAAAAAGAAAGGAAGGAAGGAAGGAAAGAAGGAAGGGAAAAGAAAATAAAAGGAATCCTTAATCTCACCTCCAACTGAATGCCCACCTTCCCCTGCCAGCTAGGGCTGGTGACCTGCGGGCCACAGTGGGATCTCTACCCTGCTGACCTCTGTCCCCTCTTGGCATTCCTTTTTCCTCTGGCATGCTGGGGTGTGGCATGAAGGATTTCAGAGAAAGGGTCGAGACATGGTTATTTTATCAGGGGCTTTAGGGTCTCCCTTGACCAACACCGGCTCACTGTTGAGACGTCTGTGTGGCAGGCACCCAAATATTCATGCTTTCCTTCTTACCCAAATATGCAATGAGTGCCTGTGTGTGCCAGGCCCTATGGCAGGTGCTGAGGCGGCTGTGGTGAAGGAAACAGACAAGGGCCCAGCCCTTGCAGAGCTCATGTCCTAGTGAGAGCCAATGAATGAGATGGACACTCGCGATGAGGAGGGAGATGGGAGCTATGTCCCAAACAGGATGGGGACCGAGAAAGGGTCGGCTGTAAATCAGACCACTGGGGGAGGCCTCGCTGAGGTCCCAGCATTGGAACAGAGTGCTGTGTGGAGTGAGGGAGTGAACCCCTGGGTGTCTGGGAGGAGGGAGCTCCGGGTGTGGGGAGGAGACGGCCAGTGCAGAGGCCCTGAGGCAGGTGTGGCTGGGCAGCTCTGAGGACGCCCCAGGAGAGGGATCAGGGTGGCCGGAGGGGAGTGAGAGGGGACAGTGGTGGGGGTGAGGTGGAATGGGGGCCTGGATCTCCCAGCTTAGCGTGTGTGAGTTCTCTGGGGAGCCATCTGGGTGTGGGGGGGTGGGGGCTGCTGACTATAGAGCCCCTGTCATGGAAGGCCTGACCTGGCTTGACCCCTTCCACGCCCTGCCCAACTTCCCTCTCCTCCTAAAGTGCTCCCCCTGCAGCATGGGGGCTGTGGTCCCCTCACCCTGCAAGCAGCCCTCTTAGCGGTCCCAGTGAGGCCCAGCCAGGACTCCTTCCTAGTTGCCTGCTTTGCTTTGAACATCTCACGATCCTTGCCATAGCACAGGCTGGAGGGCTGGCTCTTCCCGGCCCACCCCGCCCCCACCTACCCCGCCTGCTGTCTCTCACTGATTGTAGAGACATTTAACTGGGGCCACGTCTGCCTCTGCAGGCATCCCACATTTCTGCACGTGATCCTCTGGGAACCTCCTGTTAGCATGTGGGGAGATGTGGTTGGTTGGAGTCAGAAGGATGGTTGATGGTTGGGGTTGCAGGGCCCGTTTTGGCCACATTAGAGATGGGGTCATCTCCCTCCCCACTGGCGACAGTGGCTTGCTTGGAAACACAGGGGCTTCAAGGCTTCCGTGTTCTCAGTTTTGGATCCCACTAGACAATTCCTGAAGAACAAGAACAGTGTCGCTCAATGGCCCACTCTACAGATGAGGAAATGGGTGAGGGGAAGGCACTTGCTCAGGTCTCCTAGGTGGTAAGGGTGGAGCTGGGATTTGGACAGGACAGTCTGGCTCCAGGCCCTGACCCGGAGAGCTTTGGAGCAGCTCCTCAGAAGCTGCCCCTGAAATGAGGATTTGGGTACAACTGATATGAGGTGAACCTTCCAGAGGAAGCCAGTAGGGAACGGAGCGAGAGGAGGATAGAGGAGGCCAACCAGGCAGTGGGGTGGTCTCAGGCCTGGCCTCAGCCTCATCCTGCAGGGTACTCTGGAGGGTAAGTGAAGGGGAATTTTCTGATCCCAGACAAAGGAGTCCTGCACCTGGCAGTCATTGGCTTGGGGCTGCTCCAGGTGGGGCCAACAGAAATTTACCTAGGGTAGCCCCTGTAGAAAGAGCCACAGGTGGTGCCTCTTAGAAGCCATGCAGGGCATGGGGGCAAAAACAGGAAAAAGGAATCCAGGGGAATTGGGGGCAGCACCCACAGGGTCCCCTAACCCCAGTGACACAATCTGGCCTAGAGCATAAAGTCCCTCCGCTGGCGGGCAGAGAGTGAGCGCAGGGACCATTGTCTTCCAGGAAGGGAGGATGCCTGCAGCACGGGAGCCCTGGGAGAAGGGATCGGGGAGACCTGGGATAGACCTAGGAGAGGGCTAATAGGATTTGCCGGTTTACTGGGTGGTCCCCGGGAGAATAGGGGAAGGCAGGACCCTGAGAAACTCCTAGGGTTATAGTTGGTGCAGTGGGGGACCGGGGGAAGGTAGACCTGGATTTGGGAGTCCTCTTTTGCCCAGGTGTGCTTGAGGTGCCCCTTGGGCTTCCATGTAGAGAGCTGGAAACTCAGTTGGGAGCTCAAGTGAGGAGTCAGGGCTGGAGGTGTGCACATGGGCAGTGGGCAGCGGAAACACGAAGGTGAGGCCTCCTGGGGAGAGAGGGTGGTGAAGGGCCAGGACGGAAGTGTGGTGCCAGCCAATGGGCAGGGGTGAGCCAGGGAGGAGCCACAGAGGGGACCCAGGACAGCAGCCAGAGAGGCCAGAGGCCAGGGTAAGAGCGAGGCTCAAGAGGGCAGGCAGGCTGCACAGCTCTAGCTCCAAGAAGAGGCTGGAGCGGCCCCCACTGGAGTTGGCCCCATGGAGGTTCCTGGCAGCTTGGCAAGGGCTGCCTCATGAAAGCCTGCTTGGAATGGGTGGAGGAGAACTGGAGGACAAGGAAGTAGAGGTGGGACACAGCTCTCTGCACGTCCGGCGAGAAGGGAGCAAAGGAACGGCTAAGTCGCTGGAGGGAAACAGTGGTCACAAGCTTCTCAAAAGACAGGAGATGATGGGATGCTGATGGCCCCACCCCGTGGTAAGGGGACAGAGGAGTGAGAATGCGGGAGAACGTCCAGAGCCCAAGAAGCATGGCAGCATATGCGGTGCTGGCTGAATGCTTCAAGGCGGACGGAGTGGAGAGAGCAGTGACTCCACAGGAGGGAGAGCAGAGCCCCTGAGGGGAGGGCAGGGGCAGGACCCAGCCCTGGGTGGATGGGCCAGAAGGTCCTGGGTGCAGCAGGAACAGCTCTTCCTTCGTTGCAGGAGGGAAAGGCAATGATGTGGGCAAAGGTGCAGGCAGGCTCTGGTGATTTGGGTGGAAAGATCCAGGTGACACCTTTCCAAGGATCCTGGACCCAGTGAGGGAGGGGCAGAAGCCCCCAGCAGTGTGTGGGGTAGGGGAGGGAGTGTGTTTCATGTCTGAGAAGGAAGGTTGGGGTGAAGTTGTCAGCCTGGCAGGAAACAAAGGCAGCAGGAAATGGAGAAACAGGGAAGGATCCGGGCAGCATCCCACAGGAGGCTGGGGCTACAATCTAGCACGTGGCAGTCACTCTCTCCAGCAACATTCAGCTCCTCAGATCCAGGCACAGGGCGAGAGGGTCAGACTCAAACCCGGGTGAGAGGTAAGGGCGTCTGTGAGAGAGAGCTCAGAGGCCGTGCCGGAGGGTCAGCTGGGCCAGGAGCAAAAGAGGAGCTAGTCGGGAAATACCAGGGCAAATGGATTAAACGTCTCCACGAGGCCAAAAACATGCTGGAGTGTGGGTGCTAGAAATTGCGAAAAGGGGGTAAAAAGAAGATGAGGCCAGTGATTCCTGCTGAGGGGCACAGGCAGGAGGGCATCTGGCTGGACCCCTCCTCCCCTGTTGTGGACTTGAGTCGGCTTCCTCTACAATGATGCTGGATAAAAATAAGGCCACACCCATCTTATGGGGGGGCCTTGAACACGCCTTGTAAGCAAGAGAGGGCTGGGCTTTGCTGAGTTCCTCCTCTTGATCTTATTTCCAGACCTGTTCACAAGTGCCCACAAGGACTGCCCCATGCCCCAGGGCACGGACCCCTTGAACCCAGACCTGCCCTCGGGCTGCACTCCTATCGTGGCTGTAGACCATGTCCCTGGCAAGGTAACTGGTTGCTCCTCATCCCTGTGCTGCCTGTGTCCCAGTTCCCGGCCTGTCCCCTACAGCTCCCCACAGGGAGCAGAATCCATTCCAGTCTCCTTCCTTCCCTGCCAAACCCTCTTCTCCCTGTGGGACCAGGGGCCCTAAGGCCTGGTATTCAGCAGCATGAGAGGCTGGACTGGGCTGAGCATCCAGGGGCTGGACCAGGCTTGTTTAGAAGACCGTCCATCCTGAAGGTCTTCCTGCACAAATTAACGCTGCCTTGCAGACAACACATTCTGCTACCAGCCCACTACTCCTGAGCAGCCTCACGAATGTTATATATAAGTTATGTAATATATATAATTATATATTATAATTTATATAAATTATATATAAAAGTTTATTATATTATATAATAAAATATATATTATATATAAGTATATATAAAATATAAATGTAATATATAATATATAAATATATATAAGTATATATAAAATATAAATATAAAATATATATAATACATAAATATGTTATATATTATATATAAATTGTATATTATAATTTTTGTATACTATATTATATATAATTTATATGAATATAATTTATATATAATATATATTAAAATTTTACATATGTTTCTCAGTCCAGATTGATTTAGAAGATGTCACTAAGGATCACAAAGGACCCCAAATTCTGGTGCATAATTTCCACCCTTGCCTTAGGGTCTGTGGCATGAACCCACCAGTTGATGTAATTACCATTCCCCCCACCAGCACACCCCTCCTGCTAAGCACCGCACTCAGCTGTCAGCCTCTATTATGTTATTTGGCCTCACCACAGCCTGTGAGGTGAATGACATTGTCACCGTTTTGCAGAGGAAGAGACGTGTTTGGCAAAGTCAGAGCCCACACCCAAGCCTGCTCTATAAGCTGCACCCGCTGCCTCTCCTCCCAGCACCACTGTTGCCCCCTCCTCCTTACTCTGCATGCCGGGGGACACCCAAGAGAGGACAGACCCCGACCTCACGGAGCACCAGAAGGCTGACCCCCATCCCCACCCAGGGCCGCAGGACTTGGGCCATCTGCCAGGACAGTGTGCCAGGCCCTACCTGATCCTCTCTCTCCTCTTGTTTTAGGACAAACAGATGGATTTCTGTTGGGATCCTTGGCAGGTCAGTGCACTGTGTGTCCCCCAGTCTAGCCAGCCCAAGCTGACACCCCCATCCCTCTATCCTTTGTGCCCAGCCCAGGCACACAGTCCTGCTGGCCCTGGGGGAGAGGAGTCTGATGCAACAGTGGGTGGGGGTGGTCCTGTGGGAGTTGGTAGGATCTCCCTGGCTTGAGCTGCCCTGTCCCTGCCCACTGGCCAGAGGACCTGGTGGGCTGGGAAACGGGATGGGTGGGACTGGAGGGATGTCGGCCAGCAGTCTGGCCCACCCTGCTCACTCCTCCTGCCCCTTCTTCCAGAGGTGCTTCCAGACCACCAACGGCTACCTGTCCGACTCCAGGTCCTGCCGCAGCAACTACAACGTGGCAGCCCTAGCCACCTCGTCCCTTGTGGGTAGGTTCTGGCTGCAACTCTCCTGCCCTTGGAGAATGCACAGTCCCACCCTAGACCCTGGCTGTGGGAGGGGCACAGCTGCGTTGCAGGTGGGAAGACGGCAGCCCTGCTGGATTCTCCATTTCTAAATGCCAGAGTCCCATTTTCTAAATGCCAGAGTCCATGCTAGGTTATGCGGGTCACGGGGGGACCAGTGGCTCAGGGTTCTGTTTCCACGAGTTAAACTGCTGGGTTCTCAAGAAGCTCTGCGGGGGTGGGGCAGAGTTTTTCAGATGTCTGTCCGGCATGGTCTCCCTGCCTCTCTGCCAGTCACATCACCTTAGTTCAGGTTCCCTGGAAGCAGAGCCTGACATGGCCTGACTGTGCAGGTGATTCCCTGGAGACTGGCCCTCAAGAGAAGCGAGCAGACAGCGGGGGAGGCAGAGGGGACTGGGGAAGGGGCTCAGCAGGAGTCTAGCCCTGCCCACCTGGTCCCACTGGGAGCGTGGGAGCATGAATAGTACCCCAGAATTGATGGGGCTGGACTTTATATTCCCCCATTGCTGCCTCACTGGCTGCCTCTGGGGAGGACTCCGCAGCCTCCCGGCATCTCCAGGTGAAGAGGCTCCCAGGAGCTCAGGGTGGTTCTCCAGATAAGGGTGTGAGCTGACAGCAGCAGCAGCACCTGAAGCAGCTGGGCGTGGGCTCCCAGGCCAGTAGAGGGGGTTTCGGTGGCCACCACAGCATCAGGTGGCCCCAGCACTAAATCCCACCCAGCTCCCCTGAGGCCCCTGGGGCCCTCCCTCCCCACGTTGGCCTGTGCCTTTCCTTCATCTCCAGCACCTTCCTCCACCTCAACTGCCCTTCAAGCGCCACTTGAACCCCCACTTCCTACAAAACATCCTCTCCAATTGCCAACACTCGCCAACTAAGTGGGTGGGAGAGAGAGTCTCCACTTTCTTCCACACTCCCATCTTTCCTGTTTTCCCCACTCTCTAATTACCTTTGTGGATACTTTCTCCTACTTAAATATTGCCATTCCTCACATCACATCATGGCTTCGGGGACCTGGGTGACTCCCAGATCTGTTCTCAGCCTTGGTTAATGGTGATGCTGACCCGTTCCTGGCAGCCCCCTCTCCATTTTACACATCCAACAGCTCTCCTCCCAAAGCCCCCGACCCCTCCTCTCTGTCTGCCCAGCCCTTGCCATGTCTGTTGCTGGGTCCCTGCAGTAACCCCTAATCCTCCAACTGGGGTGTCTTTCTAAACAGCTGTGCTAACTGCTCACTGTCTTGCTCATTACCCTGCTGGGGCTCCCCACTGCACAGGAACGTGAGCCCTCCACCTTATTCTCCCCAACCCTGTTCTGGCCCTGATCAGCTCCCAGCTTCTCCTATCACACCCAGTCCTAGTGTGGACCCCATGTCTCACTCCAGCTACTCCTGAGCTCACACCAGACTCTTCCATGCCTTCATCCTCTCTCATCACTGAAAAAGCCTCCAGTCTTGCCTCCAAATATTCAAACCCAACCCACCTTCAAATTTCAATCCCAGGTCCCCTCTTCCAGGAAGCCTTCCCTGCCTGCTCTACCCACCCAGCTCTCACCTTCAGCAGAGCTGGCAGGCTACAGAGATGCTCTCTCAGAATGTATTTAATGGATCATGGAGAAAGCTGGGGGCTCATGAGTGGTCCTCGGGTGGATCTCCTTGGGCGGAAGGGTCTGAAGAGTTGGTAGGCTACAGAGATGTTTCAGAATGTGTTTAATGGATCATGAGTAAGTTGGGCCGGGTGAGTGGTCCTCGGGTGGATCTCCTTAAGGGAAGGGTCTGGAACTTAGTCAGAAAGGGAGTGAGGGTGTGCATCTGGGTGGAAGCAAGTAATCGCAGTGTGGAAACATGGACTAGAGCAGGATGCTGGGAGGAAATGTGGACGCGAGCAGGGGGCATTGAGGGAGAGGGGGCCGCAGAGCTCAGAGGGCTCAGGCAGAGAAGGAGGCTTTGGAGGGCATGAGGAATTAGATAGGCATAGGCCCTTGGGGGGTGGGGGCACTGATGGAGACCGTGTAACACTGAGGTCAGGTACAGGCCACCAGGTGGGCCTGAGGCATGGAGGCCAGGCCCTGGGCTAGTCTTGTGTCAGGACAGTCGCCCAGATGCCCTCCATGCCCCAGGGGTGGTGCAGAGCATCAAGGACCACATCACAAAGCCCACGGCCATGGCCCGAGGCCATGGCCCACCTCATCGAGTGGAAGGGGCTGGAGTGCCCAGCGGGCAGGCTGGGAGCTGTCCCCAGCTGAGGACGAGCCACTGCTGCCTCCCGGATGAGCTGCGTGAGCCCGCTTGCTGCAGCAGGTCAGTGAGGAGGGGACTATTGTGGCTCTGTGGGATGAAGCTGGGACCTGGGGGCCTCAGATCACTGCATGGACATTTATCTGGGCAGGAAAAAAATAATAGCATAGGAGGGGCTGTTATGAGCATTCCTTGACCACTGGGGCGTGGATGGGCAGCGCTGAGATGCACTCCTCCGGCTCAGCCTCTGGAGCAGCTCTATCGGGCACTGAGGCTGTCCCCACCCATCCCCCACTGAGCCAGATCTCGCTGTCTCAGGGGTCGCCGAGCAGTTTGCCACGCCAGAGGCCACACTGAGCGCTTGGTCTCGCTGGATGATGAGGAACTGCACTCGAGAACAGCCCCCCAGGCACTGTCTCAGCTCAAGGGTACAGCCCAGAGGTCCGGCGGTGGGGTGGGCAGAGCGGAGCTGAGGGTGGATGCCTGCCCACCACCAAATGCAGTGTGGCCTCGGCCAAGCCCCTTCCTTTTCTCAGCCTAAGTTTCTTCATCTGTAAAATGCGGCAGTGATCCTTGCCCTGCCCATTGCCCGGCAGTGCCAGGAGCAGGAAGGAGAGAATGAGCACAGTGGGGTGGAATCGCAGTGCTATCAGGTGACTGAGGGCTGCATGCAGGCATCTCACGGAATCTCACAGCAGCCCTAGGGAGGGGGTCCTGTTGTCCCCATTTTACAAATAAGGAAACAGAGGCACTGCAGATTCAGAAACTTACTCCAAATGACACAGTTAGAAGCAGCCAGAGCCGGATCTGAAACTTACCACCAGACACAAGCAACCGTCTTCTAGGAAGCCCAGGTTATTATAGAGGGCTTCAAGGAGCCTTGGCTCTGGGGGAAGCCTGCGCTTAATCCTCCCTGACAGATGGAGAGGACGGGGAGGGACAGAGGCCCAGGGGAGCACTGGCTGTCCCAAGCTCTGGGGAAGCACAGGCTGGCACCAAGCCCACTCTTGACTCCTCCGTTTACTGCCTCGAGGAGGAACCTGGGGCTCAGAGGGAGCCAGATTTGACCAAGGTAACAACGCCACCAGTCATTAATAGCTGGATTGGGAGGCAGGTCTTCTGCCCTTGCCCTTCTCACACCCCCAGAGAGGGCGAAGAGCCTTACTCCAGGACTCATCTCCACATCCCTTTGCTTTTCCAGATCTGGAGAAAGATCTACCTTCAGCACAGCCTTCCCAGTGGCTCCCCGCAGGATGGCTGTAGCCTCAGCCTCTCCCTGTCCAGCCTCTCCTGACATGTCCCTCACTGGAGGAGCCTCCCAGCACCGCTGGCATCCAAGCCCCGAGCCCAGAGCTGCAGCATCGGCGGCAGTGCCCGGGCACCTAAGGACCCGAGGGAGGGGTCGCACCTACCAGGATCCCTTCCCTCCGTGACAGCGGCTCCCTGGGAGGAGGGAGGACGAGGTGTCTTAGCAATCCTGAGCGGAGGCTGTATGGTCCAGCACCTGCTCACAATCTAAGACCCTCACCCAGGTGTGGTCCAGGCATATCTGGATCCTGTGTCCAGGGCAGGGCATCTCTTGACCCTCGGGTAGGCACAGGGTAGGCAGGGATGGGGGCCAGCGCCATCATGGCCTCCTCTGTGCTCATGACCTGCCCCTAAGGGCAGCCATAACCCCTCCCCTTCATTACTTCACTCAGTGGGTACCCTTCCCTGTGCAGGGTGTCTGCTCCTCAGGGAACTCAAGGACTTTCAGGAGAAACCAGGGCAGCCTGGCCCAGAGGAGCAACAGCCAGGCCCCCAGGAGGACAGCCATGGAGAGAACTGAGACCCACTTAGAGGGGTCTGCCTGCCTGTACCTGGGGCTCAGTCCCTCCCCCACTCTCTCTCTGTGTGTCTGCCTCCCAGCAAAGGTGGGGTGGCCACTTGGTAGCTACACCTGCCCCCTAGCTGTCCTCACCAGGACATCTGTCTCTGGAGTGTCTGTCTGTCTGTCCTCCCTCTCTGAACCTGCTTCTCGGTGTCCCCTGCCTCGGCCCCGGGAGCCCACCTCACTCCTTACAGCTCCTCCCATCTCACTCAAGGTTCTCTGAGGACATTAAAGTGGTCGATTCACTCTTTATGACCTTCACCTGGTCTCTGTTGGGAAGATGTGACCTTGGGCCCCTGGACGAAGTCCAGAGGAGTCGGGAAGGTCCCTACTGCCAACGTCACACAGCTGGTCAACCTGCTCCCACCTAGCCAGAGAGGGCCCATGGAGGATGCCCCAGCCCTGTGGACTCCCCAGGAGCCACACTTGGGGACCCAGCTTTGAACTGTGGCTCAGCCAAGCAGGAGACTAGCTAAACGACAAGCAGAGGGTCCTGCTTATCCATGAGGGCAAGCATCATAGACCTGGTGAGAGACCTCTCTCCCTACCATCCACCCAAGAAGTGGAGCATGAGGAGGGAGCCCAGGCTCCCAGCCTGCAGTGTCCACGCATCAATGGGAAACTCATCAGCCAGCACAGGTGAGGAGCTCTAGTCCCAGGCCAGCAACCTTGCAGCTGAGATGAGGGATGGACAGTGGCTCTGGGAACCAGCTTTATTTTTCTCTGGAGCCTCTCATTGGGAATCAGACAACCCCAGAGGGCATCTGCTCCGGCCCTTGGTGACAGCGTACTCCAATCCCGCTATCCACAATGTGATGGCCAGTCACTGAGCACCTGGCAGACACTGGTTTTCTGTCATCTCACACTCAGCTCTGTCCAAGGTGGATTTGTCTCTTCATGCAGGAGCCATCATCGGCCACTCCAGGATGAGCCATCTTCTTTCCGGCTAGGTTAGAGTTGTCTGTTATGCCAAGGAATGGAGCTGGGTTGGGAGTGGGGTAAGGGGTGACGGGGAAGAGAGGCAGGGTCTCAGCCCAACCTCAGTACCAGGCAGCTGGGGTGCCCTGTTTCATCTTGCTGGACTGGCTCACTTTGGGGCTGGTGGGTTTGTCAGGTTGGAAATTGCTTTCATCTAGAAACAGAGAAAGGGGGAGGGGGCTGAGGGGGGATGTAGAGGAGGTTGACAGGGTGGCACCAGCATTTTTAGTCCCCTAAGGGTGGTTTCTGCAATAGTAGAGCTCATGTCACCCCATTGCACAGATGGATCACAGGAGGCAGAGAGGGGGCAGGCTGGCCACTGGCCAGGAAACAAGATAGGGAGCCAGCTCAGTGGCCAATCTGGGCTATAAAGAGGGACTCATCAGTATCCTGAATCCCCCAGGTTTGGATGGGAGCATGCCGGTGTCCCCCCACCCTCCCCAGGCTTCTCAGGCATGGGTCCTGCTTTGCTCTGCCCCTGGGACCCTCAGAGCCTCCACCCAGGACACGCAGCCCAGCTGTGCCTGCCCCTGCGATGTCACAAAGAGGGACTGGGGTTCAACAGCTCAAAAGAGGTTGTGTGCCTGGATGGGGGATTGTTAGGAAACACTGGAGGGTAGGAAGGCGCCCAGCTCCTCTGCCCACTCTGCCACGCCTCTGAGCCAGGAAGAGGCTGACCTGATGTGTGTGGAGGCAAGAGATCCAGGTAATGTCCAGTGTGGCCACTGGGGATGCCAGAGTCCATGCAAGGGTCTGGGCGAGACCACAGGTGGACAGGACCCAATATCCAGCACCCTCCAGCAGCACAGAGGGGCAGGGCCCAGGTTCCCTGTGGGCCTCTGCCCCTTCCCCGGCCCATGTGCCAGCTCTGTCCTGAGTGGCTGTCTTTGTGCAAGATCACACAGGAGAATGGTGACCTGAAACTGGAAGTGCACGTGTGCGCTGGTTCAACTCCACTGTCTTTCCACCCAGATACTTAAACATTTGCCACTCTCCCACTTCCCTCATCTCTCTGCATCATCCCTGCAACCCTGGTGAGGGGCGACAGGCAGGAGCTGCTGCCCAGTCTGCTGATGAGACACAGGCCCAGGAGGGGAAGGGAAGGTTTCACATAAGACGTGGTGGGGCGGGTTGGGAGGGGGAGGCTGCAGCCTGAGCTCATCAGCTCTTTCCCACCCAGGGCCTCATATGTCACACTCCTCAATTCTCCCTGTTACTCATGCAGGGAAGCTCCTGGGACAGCTTCAGGGTCACTGGTCTGGGGGCAGCCCCAGCCAAGATGTCCTGAGACACTGCTGGGGGTGGGGAAGGGTTACAGGGAAGGTTACAGGTGCAGGGCCGGCCTCTCCAGGAGTGCCCCTCTCAGACCACCTCCTCAGGAGACTGTGCAGGCGCCTCCTGTCCCAGCCCTGCTGACCGACTCCCCACTCCCCCCCATCCCCACTTTCAGGAGTACCCACCTGGTGTCCTGAGCCAGAAAGAGGCTCTGCAGCCTGGAGGGCCTGCACCAGCTGGGCTCCTTCGCACGATGCCCACCAGGATCTGGGACTCTGGCAAGTGAGAGGAGAGGGAGGGAGGCGCATTAGAGGAAACAGGAACTCACATTTACTGAGCACCTACTTAGCCAAGAACTGTGCTGGTGTTCCTATGGGGCTGTTGTAACTATTGTCTCCCATTATAAAGGACAGGAACTGAGGCCTGAGACAGACAGCAGGCTAATTGTCTTGCCCCAGGTCATTCAGGTGTGGTAGCTGCAGGTGGCTGAGTGAGGCTACCAGGGGGACTGTGAGGGACCTGGCCACCACTGAGATCCCCCACATTGCAAGGTCTCAAGACAGGAGCAAGCTGGGGACGCCAGCACGATGTGAAGTCTGTGTCAGGGCTGGGCTCTTCAGTTTCCCAAGAGGCTTCACATCTGGTGCAGCCCAGTGAAGGTGCGAACCCAGGAGGACCCTGTGTTCTGAGGTCCTACTGTGTGCTGGGGCCTTGGCAAGCTTCACTCTGGCCCTAAACAATGGCATTGTCAGATATTTGGGGTTTTGAGGGCCCAGCTTGGTGTTTTGCTTTCTGTTGAGTGGAATAAAAATCCTGACACTTAGACATGTAAATGTCCCCCCTTCCCTTTTAAAATGAACAATGAAGGCCTATTTCTTGGGTAAGCAGTGGGGTCCCACAGCTTGGGCCTGTGTTGGTTGGAGTGTCTTTGCTATGGCTCTAAGGGTAAAAGAGGACTTGTCTTTCGAGGCTAATTCTTCTTTGCTCCAGGAGGTGAAGATTCTTGGGGGCCCATCCAAAGCAAACATTTTCAGGATGAGATATTTGGCATGTTCCACAGCATAATGCTAATAACAGTCTTCCAATTAGTGGGGAAAGAAGGGCCTAGCATTTGGAGTGAGAATGTCTCTTGATCCCTACTTTCAAGATGATGAAAATGCAGTACATAGAGCTTAAGTGGTATACTCACAGTTATTTAGCTCATAAATGGCTTTATCCCTCTTGGGGTGGGCATAGGGTGACCCTAGCTGTACAGGTTGCTCACTGCACAAGGTGCTCACCCAAAGTGCAAGTGGAGCACCTCAAAATCCAGCTGTGATGTGCTTGCCAGGTGCACCTTATCTCATTTGCACAGGGGGACACATGGGCTGGACAGCAGACTTGGAATGAGCAGGGTTACTCCCCAACCCCGCCTTATCTTCTGAATGCAGATACTGGAGTTGTACCCACAGGAAATGATGCGCTAGTTAAGGTTTCCATGAAGCGGTGCCATGCCTTTAACAAGGGGCCACCATGCTTTTGTCTTTAAGGAGATGTTTACCTTATGGCAACAGGGATTTGGGGGAGGGGTCTCATTTGGGGAATGCTTAAAGGGAGGCCTGTAGGGAAGCTTCCAGAAGACCCTGGTGGTGTCCCCATGCTCCTACCCCAGCAGCTACCCAGGAACTGCCTTACAAGCACCCAGCCGACTCTCTTTAGACATGTCAACCACTCCCAGGAGCAAAAATAAATGATTTCCATTTACTGATGAGAAACTGGAGGTTCAGGTGAAGTGACTTGCCCAAGGTCACACGGTGGTTGGTTGCTAAGTCACAGAGCCTGGATGCAGATCCTGTCTGCCTGACAGGTCCACGAAGGAGGCAGAGGGCATCCCCCACCCCGACTTCCCTCCTCCTCACGGCCGGGCACCTGTGCTCTCCACCAGGGGATACTGGCCACGCCTGTGGAGGTCACCACCTTGACCACCTCCCTCCAGTGGCGTGTCCTTGGCCAGTGGGTGATGCTGTGGTTCATGAAGTGCCCACCCCTCGCAGGGAGCTGCAGGCAGGGGCTCCCATCAGGTCCCAGAGTCGGGATGTGAGACCCAGGCCGGCAGGAGGATCTGGGGGAGCTTTGCTTGAACTGGGGACCCACGGCTCTGGAGTGTGGACAGGGCCGGAGAGGTTCATGGAATGAGGGACTCCTGGAATCCACGGTGGAGGAAACTCAGACCACGTCACCGATGACCCAGTTCCTAATTCCCAGCCCTGACCCCATGTCCCCCCAGACCAGCTCCACTTTGTCCTGTTTTACCCAGCGGCCTTCCCTGGAAAATTTAATTGAATAAAAAAGTGTATGCAGATGGGCACGTGGCTCACGCCTGTAATCCCAGCACTTTGGGAGGCCAAACAAGGTGGATCACTTGAGGCCAGGAATTCGAGACCAGCCTGGCCAACATGGTGAAACCCCATCTCCACTAAAACTTACAGGAGAACATCTGGGCATGGTGGCACATGCCTAGTCTGAGCTACTTGGGAGGTTGAGGCAGGAGAATTGCTTGAACCTGGGAGGTGGAGGTTTCAGTGACTGAGATTGTGCCACTGCACTCCAGCTTACGTAACAGAGTGAGAAAGATTCCACCTAAAAAAAGAAAAAGGAAAAAAAAGTGTATGCCTCCACCAGGGAAAACTTGAAAGTCAGGAAACCACTGGGGTAAGCAGCCCCGT